GTTGTTCTTTCTGACATTAGAGTCAGTCGGAACAGTCTGCTAAATAGTCTGTTTGTGTAACACATTAAAGAGATATAGAAATATTGTCTTCGCATTAACAAAAACCCAGACATCAGATGAATGTAATACAAATATATGTGAGAAATAAAGCTTGAAGTCGATTCTCCTATATAACTTTGTTGTGAACAGCATCCTTGACCTGAAGTTTATTGATGTATTATGTTGAGATGAGTGATATATTTATTACATTTTTTCAGCAGTCTAATCGCAGTTTTATAACAGGAAGGAAATTTGATCGTTGATACGAAAACTGGATAAGTTCATGTCAGATTGTTTTACTGCATCAGACGGGGCCGAGGTCGATTCCAGAACTCTCCATTGGCGCCATTTGTGTCTGCATGACAGACTGTACACGTAAGTTCAGTAATACATTGAGAACTGTTTGAAAACCAGCTGCTTCTTTATTTCAGATCATGAATACTCCTTGTACAGAATGTTGGCCAGCGTCTACAAATGGTAGCACGGGATCGTTCATGGAATTTGAGTGGTTATGAGCAAGTAGCTTGAGTGGAGACGTGTGAATTTACTTACATGGTCTGGAGTCCGGCTTCATTTCAGTTTAAATGTGGGGTTGTTCGATTTCAACCAGTTGCAGTAGTTTCAGGTCCTTATGAGCAATTCACAGAGCCCTCATCGGAATCACCAGAGATATGTTTTCCTCCTCGACCTCGGCCTCCCCCCGATCCAACATGACCTAATTTAGTTTTCGTATCAACGATCAAATTTCCTTCCTGTTATAAAACTGCGATTAGACTGCTGAAAAAATGTAATAAATATATCACTCATCTCAACATAATACATCAATAAACTTCAGGTCAAGGATGCTGTTCACAACAAAGTTATATAGGAGAATCGACTTCAAGCTTTATTTCTCACATATATTTGTATTACATTCATCTGATGTCTGGGTTTTTGTTAATGCGAAGACAATATTTCTATATCTCTTTAATGTGTTACACAAACAGACTATTTAGCAGACTGTTCCGACTGACTCTAATGTCAGAAAGAACAACCAAACTGTAAATTCAGCATACAACGAAATATGTGTAATTTATATAATAAATTATCCATGCCTGTACAACTGGTATGTTCCTGCATAAACGGGAATAAATATATATTATGATTTCAGTAAAGACTCTGCAAATTGCCCATAAGGACCTGAAACTATGTGGAGCCACCGCGCGACAGTGTGCTGTAGTTTTTAAATCGTGGCTAACTATGACACCTGAGTCCAAGTGAGTCTGAACTGATGGGAGTGTTATTCCCTCTAGTTCGTAGGAGCTGGTGCTTGCTTGTCCAATGCGCATGGTTGCACATTTTGCCACATTGATCGGGAGCATTCATTCTATGGACCAATCTGGCAATTTGCTGAGGTCCTCTAGCAACGTGGACGTATCACTGTTGCCCTTCAGCTTTCTGCAAATTTTTATGTCATATGCGTATAGGACCATAGTGGAATCGGTGAGCAGAGATAACTCACTGATATGCAAAATAAATAGGAGAGGTCCGAGTGCCGTACCTTGTGGCACTCCGTTGCGTATTGCCGCCCAAGAGGAGAGTTTCTAGTTGATCCTAACCCTGTGTCTCCTATCTATGAGGAATTCCCTGAGCCGGTTAAGTAATCTTCCTTTGATACCAAGACTTTCCAACGTCATGAGTAGTCTTTTGTGAGGGAATTTGTCAAAGACTTTGCTGAAGTCTATGAAGACGACGTCAACGGGTCTTCTGTTGTCCCTTGATTTGACTCAGCTTTCTCTTGCAGTGAGATTTGACAGGCATGAGAGGTTTCTTTGGAAGCTGAGCTGTGCTCTGGATAACAAGCTGCTGTTTTCCAAACATGCCATGATGCTTTTCTTGATGATTCATTCCAGTGTCTTCATTAAAGTGCTGGTGAGAACGATAGGCCTGTAATTTGAAGAGTTTTGTCTTGATCCTCCTTTGTGGATGGGGGTTACTATGGCATCTTTCCAGTCACGCGGTAACACTCCATTTAGGAGAGAAAGCTTGAAGATCGTGGCCAAAGGGCCGGATGAAGATTATCAGGATCCATTGATTTCCCTGCATCTAGTTTCACTTGGCAGTTGGGCACAATGTCTTGGTCAATGTCAACGGAATCTATCCCGTATTCTTCTGATACAGCCAGAGCTGATCCTATAGGAAGTGATGACTATGGTGTGAAAAATTGGGAGAAGTAGTCCGCCATTGGTTCTTCTTTTTCTTGATCTTCCTCGATTGTGTCACTGTCAATGGTCAGGTTTGGGACACCATTGGATGTTTTATTCCTGAAGTTCATATACGAGAAAATTTTCTTAGGTTGTGCCTTTGCATTTTGAGTCAGATGTGCTACGAACTTCACCCTTGATTGGTGGATCTCCTTTATTCCTAGCAGTGTTATATAACTTCCTGGTCTCAGGAGTCTCAAGTGTGGCAAACAGGTTCCAACATTTGTCTTTACTCCTGAGTAACTTACGAATCTCTCGGTTTATCCAAGGGGGCAATGTTTGTGACCCTTTAGGACAAACTAAGGGATGAAAAGGTTCAGTTACTTGGGCGTAAAGTTGTTCAAATTGGTTCCACGCGGCTTCTGCTTGGGACTCTAGGTTGATGTACCAGTTTAATGAGTTGGCTGCTGAGACGATCACATATATCAGCTTTCAACGTTTGCTCGAGCTGGGGTTTCATCCCTTGATGCTGCTGCTATTATCTTGAGAGTGAGCACAGCATGATCATTTCTTCCCAAATGAGGAAGATGTTGTATGAGATCTACATCCTCACCGTAGGAGAACACTGAGTCTAGAGTTGAGGAGGAGTATTGTGAGTCATAGCGCGTGGGCTTGATGACAAGTTGATACAGAGGCAGCGAAATGATAGATTCCAGCAGTTTATGATCAAAGGAGTTGACTGAAGATGGAGTCGTAAGGCTCATCCAGTCATCTGCTGGGGCGTTGAAGTCGCCAACTACTATACTTCGACATTTCGAAGTCCAGGAGCCTAGCTTCTCTATTAGGAAGTCATCTGCACTGTAGTCAGGACTGTGGTATATAGCGATGAGGTCAATATCTTGGCCTATGCACTTAAGTCTGCAGCGTAGAATTTCACACGACTCACTTTCTTGAGCGAGTGCTTCGATGCTACGCACGGTTAAGCATTTGAGGTAGATGACTACGCCACCTCCTTTGAGGTTTAGTCGGTCCACCCTATGCACTTCAAAGTTTGGGAGGTTACCTTCGTTGTCAGTGACATCGGATTTGAGCCATGTCTCTGTGATGATAATTACATCCGGATTTCCAAAGTCTATCATATTAACCAGCTCAGTCCATTTGTTCAGCAGGCTGCTGACGCTTGTGTAGCAAACTGTTAATTCAGTTTGGTGCTTCCCTGGCCTACCCACAGAGGTTTCGAGATCGTCAAACTGCGAACTCGGACAACCCGAAAACCCTTAATCTTAAGGTTCTTTTTGACGCTTCAACGTCGTTCGCTTAATTCTAGGGCGGCAGACTGTCTTTTGACACGGTCTGCTAGGCTTAAGTCGATACGGACATATATGCCTGATCCTTTAAGAATTTGAAAGTTGCTTAGAATGTCATCCCTCTCTTCTTTCGAGTTTTGTTCGACTTTGAGATGTACAGACTGATTTACTGTAGGGTCAGGCCTTTGGCCGATTCTATTTACGCTGTGTATTGTTATGCCTGATACTGTTTTTGGCAGTAGCTTATTTAAAAGGGGCTTGACAAAGCTAAGGTCATGCTCGAATCAGACCTTTGGATGGGAGGCCACTGACTCTTGCACTTTGTGAAGAATGAGCGACCTGTCGGAGAGATTAGGCTTGCTTCACGTGGCTTTCTTGCTCTGTGGCGTGAGTGTCTTTTTGTTCTTCGTGGGCAGTGTAGCCGACGTATTGTCCTTATCTTGCTTTTTGCGAGAGACAACATTACGCCATTCATTGGCGTCCTCCTCGATGAGGCTTGATCTACCAGTCCCTGGGCGACTTGAGCTGCAGGTTTTCGACCCCTGGTACGCCTCTTCTTCGTGCCAGTCTTTCCGTTACTGTCACTAGAGGGCTTATCCGGTATCGTGGGGTCAGCGTGGGTACCTGGAAGATGGTGGGTGCTCTTCTGTGCTAAAGGGCACTCACTCATTGACAAAGACGCATCAGGAACATGTACTGTTTTGTCGATGATGCCAGTCACGTCATCGGTGTCTGAGCAGTAGTCGGTCTTCTCCTGTGGTGGAAGACCCTTGCAGTCCATGAGCTTTAAAGCCCCACTGAGAGTGGCAATGGCTTCTGTTGTACGAAATTTAGTCGTACTACAGTTGTTGTTGCACAACCAGTTCGCCAGAGGTTTACAGCAGCGTTTGTATGCTGCAGGAGTCAGGTTTGTGCACATGCTATGGAACCATCTCTTGCAGTTATCACACTGCATTCCCTCATCCACTGGAAATTGGCACATAACCCTTCCTCAGCGGTTTCTTTTGATCGGCATGCTTTTTAAAGCGAACTGGGGAAAAACGATTAAAATATGGCTTTATATATATAACCTTTATAATTCAGTGATAAAAAGCCAGTGAGTGCACAAAAATGGAAATATATAACTATTAAGTTATAAGAATACGACTCCTATAATTTAATAGATTTAAAACTGGAACGTAAACCAAATTCGATAAGAATAAACTGATTTAAAGTTAATCCGTAGACTTTTGGAGCGTATAACACAACAAAAGCCAAAACTAAACAAGAGCGTGTAAAATTCACCGCCTTTTCAAAGTTCGCGCGGCAGCGGTGTTTCTATGGGCAAGTTATGCCAGTCGTCCATAATCTGGCAAACGAAATATCCATGAACTGATTATTCGCGATGACGAAGTATTGCTTCGTTCTGCTCATCGGGATTTTTCAAAATTTTGAGAAATGTTAGTCATTGATCATCGAATTGTTTCAGTTGTTTTAGTCTGCGAGTCGCCGCCATTACGACCTCACTTGTTAGGCTGACATACATTCATGGCAGATGAGGCTGAACTCTTGGATTATGAGGACGAAGAGCAAGAGACCGTTCAAGAACCAAGGCCCAACGGAGAGGCACCTGCTAAGAAAGGTGTGAAGGGCGCTTATGTCACCATCCACAGTTCGGGTTTCCGTGACTTCATCCTTAAACCAGAGTTGTTGAGAGCCATCGTTGACTGTGGCTTTGAACATCCATCAGAAGTCCAGCATGAATGTATTCCTCAGGCGATTTTAAGTATGGACGTTTTGTGTCAGGCAAAATCCGGTATGGGAAAGACTGCAGTATTCGTTATTGCCACCCTGCAACAACTCGATCCTGAAGGAGAAGCCAACACAACTGTTTTGGTCCTTTGTCACACAAGAGAACTCGCCTTTCAAATAAGTAAAGAATATGAACGCTTCTCCAAATACATGCCTAAAATCAAAGTACGTTACACACCACTACTGAGTCATCCTCTAGGTAGGGGTATTCTTTGGTGGGATGCCGATACGCAAGGACATCGAAACCTTGACAAAATCTCCAGTTCACATCGTTGTCGGAACTCCCGGTCGTATTTTGGATCTTGTGAGAAGCAAAACACTGAAGCTGCAAAACGTGAAGCATTTCATCATTGACGAGTGTGACAAGATGCTGGATACGCTCGGTAAGACTGTTCGAACTCATTTGACTTTTCCTAGATATGCGCCGTGATGTGCAAGAGATATTCCGCATGACTCCGCACCAAAAACAAGTTATGATGTTCAGTGCAACAATGAGCAAAGAAATCCGTCCTGTATGCAGAAACTTTATGCAAGACGTACGTTGTTGCAATGTCTGGCGGAGTTGTCTTGTTTCCATTCACATTCCCACCTGAGCTGGTCTAAACGTTTACCAAGATGACTTGCATATCAATATAATCAGAGACAAATTGTCACGTGATTTATCCTCACGGACAGTGAGCGTATCAGCTAGCGTTTGCTCTGGGACCTCCGAGGACTCATCGTCCAATCGCTGAGAAATGCCAGATGGTCGCTTGGATGTGGTTCGCATTTGCTTGCCAAATACGTTCGTATGGGCCAGGTGGAGAATCAAAATGCAGGCAGTTTGACTATTTCTTAATGCTTAATGTTTTGTCCATTTAATGCGCCTGTGGTTTCTCATCGCCCACTTGGTACTTACCACATTTTTGTTTTTAGCCGTTAGAAATCTTTATCGAAAATGACTCAAAGTTGACCCTGCACGGCCTTCGGCAGCACTATGTTAAGGTCAAGGAGAACGAGAAGAACAGGAAATTGTTCGAGCTCCTTGATGAGCTGCAGTTCAACCAGGTAGGTTACCACTCAAATGATGTTTCGCCATGCTAATACCTATGTGGGCTTACGCCTGAACATATGCGTTTAGATATAAATTTATTCTGATATATTTCCCTAAAGGATGTTTTATTGCCCTAGGTGATTATCTTTGTCAAATCAGTGCAACGGTGCATGGCGCTAGCTCAGTTATTAGTTGATCAGAACTTCCCTGCTATTGCGATGCATCGGAATATGGCACAAGAAGAGCGTTTGGAGCGTTATCAAGCCTTCAAAAATTTCCAAAAACGACTGCTGGTTGCAACTAATCTCTTTGGTCGGGGTATGGATATTGAACGTGTCAACATAGTCTTCAACTACGATATGCCAGAGGACTCCGATACATACTTACATCGAGTAGGTCAAGTATTTATAGTTATTTAGTTCTATTAAGGTTGCTCGAGCCGGTCGATTTGGAACCAAAGGATTGGCTATAACATTCATATCAGATGAGTTGGATGCAAAAGTTCTCAATGAAGTACAAAACCGTTTTGAAGTCAATATTAGCGAGCTTCCAGATGTTATGGAAATATCCAGTTATATGGAAGATCGCTGAGTAGCTGTATTTACTTGTACATTGTTTTCAGTCCTGTCTATATTTCAAATGCAAATTTTCATCAACTGAGTTTTACTTATTGTATGGAAGTAATCAGAATCAACTAAATGTTGCGGCCATGGGAGTACTAGTTCGGTTTTCAGATCAACGCCTTTCTGCACACCAGTTACCCTATCGGTATTGAATTTGATTAGACATGTGGAAAACACGTTGCCCTCAGTCTTCATGGAGGAGAAAAGTAACAAGTCTGGAGGAATCTGTATTATAACATGGCGCACATGTCCTGGCCGTCCACAGGTGATTTTGGATGGACCTCTTCGTTTTACTGTCTCCATCATTTTACTGAATGCAGAATTACAATGTCTGATTTAGGAAATTTATGCAACTGTAAAAATCTCTATACATGTACAGCCTGGGATTTATAAAACTCGGAAGTAAGTAATTTCAGTTTTAAAAACCAGTTAATGTGGTAGGAATTGCGCGGTTTGGCATGAAATTATGCGATCCAACCGATAAAGTGATTTACCGTATCCAATGAGTTGAGAGTATTTGGAGGTTATGTATTGTGACCTGTGTAGTGTGCTAGGGAACTAGATTTAAGATAAGGGTCACAACACAGTATAATCACTTAGTAGGTAACAGCTGCTGTTGCTTGTTGTATGAACGATTCAGAACACACTACATTGGACAGTGCTCCGATAATGTGCCTATTAGATCAGCTCTAGCCTAGTGTACAAGGACTGGTGTTTGAATAAGAAGCTTACTGCTAGTGCTGTAACCATGCAAGCTAGAAAGTGATCCAGAACGACCGTGTCTTCGCTTGTTGAGGGTGTTCTTCGCTTATGGAATATCATCCATTAACCTAAATGAAAGTCACGTAACTGTATTCTATGTTGCCATCTATAGTGCTAATGTATGTCCATTGACATGTAGTCATACACCTTAGATTAGCACAAGTACAATTTTATTATTAGTAGTAATAATACTTTATGCATAAGTGAAGAAGTCTTCACATGAATAGCATGCAATTTCCAAAGTTTAATAAAATCACATGATTTAGCAACACTAGAGTGGAAAATGACCAGTTTGATGTACTTGTTTCACACATGTAAAGAGGGAGATATAAGCTCTCACCATCTTTTGAATATGTAAGACATATACAGTTGTGTAATGCTGATATGAAATAAGTCAATGGAAGAATCGTTTGGATCGATGACGAGAGACGGAATGTACAATTGTCGGCTTCGCATAAACGTAAGGGTTATTAGGATGTGCAATAATCATGTAGTGAGTATACTGAAAAGGTCAGTCTCAGTACCAAGGTTGTGTGGATTTGCACAAATGAACTAAACAGATGACGACCACTTGAAGTCGAACACTTATATTTCGTTGTAGTTAGATTTACGTAGGCTGATTATTTTATACTCATCTTGAAATACTGTTCTACCCATCTAGACTTATTACCACTTATTTTTAGCACAAGGAAAGCAGGGAATTCCAACGACGTATGATGCTCAGGTGTAGTCGTTTGAAAACCTCAAATATATCGTCCTTAGCAAACTATACATTACTGGTGTTATTCGAGTTTTGTTGGAGTCATTTGAAGCTGATAGGTAGAGACTTCACTGGTTGTGTTCTTGATCGGAAGGGATTCTTGGCGTTTCATATTAGACTAGTGTACTTGGTGTCATAAAATCTGGAACAAATTAAAGTAATGAAAAACATTAACAGTGAATAATTTTCCACAAGGTTTTATTCAAAAGTATGAATATTCGTAAGGGAAATGAAAGCGGTAATGTAAGTAGTGTTAATAGTTTAAATGAGTAATTCTATGCGTCGATAATACCACCATATAAATAAGAAACATCAGAATCCCTACTCGGGATTCTTAATAACTTTGAAATCCGAGTGGCATTTTTGAGCCAACTGGCTAAGACAAACTTCGTTGGCTTAGGGGTCAGAAAGAAACGGTTAAGAATAGTAATATAATTTATCAAGTACCATGTAATGACTATGAGATTAACTACATAGGTTAGACTAGTAGATTGGGGTCAACTAGGTTATCGTGGCGTATGAATTTGGCTAGACCTAGAGTGACTGATCCTGAAAGAAGTAATCTGGAAAGAAGTTTGGCCATAACAGTGCGCCCATGTAATCATATGATAGGGTGGGGCAATTTAAAAGCATAAAGGAGTTGTACAGTGAGGTGGGGAGAGGTTAATCGCCGAATGCTTGCTTGTCGAGTCAACAAACACGTAATGAAAGTGACTCCATGCCTATATTGGGTATTTGAAAAATCGCAATCAAAAAGAACAAGGAGTAGGACTGTATAAAGCAAGCTACCGAACCTTGGGAATACACTGATATGACTATGAGGAGTAACTTATGTTGGAAGTATCATTTAATTAATAATACTGTATAATTATGTGTTGTGTTAAATAAAATCATCTAACATGGGATTATATTCTACCGCAGTGCCCGAACTTGCTGTTACATTCTTCGCGTTTTTAGTGTAATGCTTGAAGGGGTTTGTTGCGCAATTAAAACCCTTCCGATTATCGATTTCTGTGTAAGTGGTTGGGCAGAATTTGAGGCAAACCGGTTAGACTATTTTGGCAGTGAAATCAAACATGTAGGCCTTGTAAACAATGAATTCAAGAGAATTTCCTAGTTGACTGCAAAGTTATTCAAACGATACTGATGTTACGTTCGATTGAGCCTCAGTCATTTCGCCTTTAACGGTCGATTAGTTTATGTGTGCTGGTCGAGTTGCATTGTCGAAAATTTGATTTTCAGGGAAGAAGAGAGCGGCCGCTGTGTTATGTGATCGGGTATCTGTTTACTCCTCATACCATGGCCGCCAGGTTTGTTGAGTCAGTGCGTCCAAAGCTTAGGTCTAGTAGTATAGATGACCACATAACAATTATGGGCGTTATTTCTATTTGAAGCCAACCGGAAACGAGTTCGAAGCCGTTCAAGCAGCGTAATTAACTAGTACCCTAGATTGTTACGTGATAAATTTTTCGTTAGTTTTGCAAGAATATAAGATAAATTAAAAGTGAAAAAGTACAAATTCTCCTTTAAATTAATCAGCAGCAATAAGAATACCTGAGATAATAGTAATAATAACAACAATGGCTTTATTCTCAAAGGTACTTTTGATAGCGTGTGAAATTTTTAGCATGCATATAATGTCCTCTTAACATCAGATAGTGGTGGGGGGAAATAATTACCATGATATTAGCATTAATAATAATGTCAATAAAATATGTATATAAAATTAAACAAAAATTTAAAAAGTAGTGACAATAGGTTGGTGATAGGAAGACTAAAAAGTGTTATTTATTTGGTGTTTCGCAGAAAGTCCATAATTTCATGCCTAAAACTTCTCATCACACAAAATATGTGCCAACTATATTTGGTCGTTCCAGCATAAAGTCTTTTATAACCACTTTTACTCCTACCTGTTGAGATTCAAGGAGAGATTTGTGTACAAAGAGCGTACACAAAGTACAACTACATGATATCTGCCAGTTCTTTGCACGATTTCAAGTGTCTGTCTACAACAGTATTATTGATGTCCGCTCATGATGAAGTCCTTAAACCAATCAGATCCCAGCAAACCAAAACTTGAATATCAGTCTGATGCTCACTAGCGACTGGTTCTATTCAGGGTAAGTAGTCATCTGGGATCTAGTGGGAAGTCGTAACCAGTGAGTTTACAGCAGGTCGGATGTGAGGACAAATACTCGCTGATGACATTAGTTGGTGGTCGCGTTTTATCCTACATTGGCAGAAGTTGAAATTCATTGGCTGGCTGTTGGATTGGGTCCCAGTGGTTTAATGGTCTGCGGGTTTGCTTTGTGGTTTGACCCCTGGCGGTGGACGCGTATTGATAAAGAGTGCCGAACTAGGTTGACGAAACAGCTGTTCAGTACTCTGCTGGTTTTCCGATGGTTTTCTAACGTATGTTAGCTCATGATGAAATCCTGAGACGGTATAAATGAGTTGGTTTATCGAGATCTCACCCATCCTACAGACAGTAATTACTGCTTTTCGCAATATAACAAAGTCTGTTTTAATTAGCCCAAGAAGGATTACGAGGCAGCAATAAAGAACAATTGGTAGAATACAATAATTAACAAACTGTAAAAGTAGAGACTGAGTGATCGCAGATTATCTCATTTTCCGTACGCAGAAGGTTAGATGAAATATCTTTCTAGAAATTATCATGATGTGGGAAAACCAGGAGAGAACAAAGGAAAGACCTAATCTAAGTTATTTAACATTAGATTTCGTTTCATATTCCTTACCCTCTATGATACAAGAATCATGAGAGCGAACGAGTTCATGGAGATCACATTTTGTGTCTGAAAGTGAAATCAACAATCTGACATTTAGAAATGGTTTAGCTCAACATTAATAATAATAATGATTTACTTTATTCCAAAAACGGTACTTGTGATACAGAATGGGATTTTCAGCATTAATCACAATATTGCATCTAATTTCCTCAAATTATAAATAAAATTAATCACACAGAAAATTTTCCACATTTACAATAGGGGTAATGTCAAAAACATGCAGCATTTAAAATGAAAATAATAGTAATAATAACAGCTAAGGTAATAATAATAATACAGGTGAGAATTGCCGGGGGCTTGTTTCACACAGTATTGTCGATGCGGTATAGAAATCCTAGCATGCTTAAAAATATTGAATATAATGTTCTCTTTAAATGATATGGTGAGGGAGAAAACAAAGATTACAGCAGTCATAGAGACAAGTTGGTGTTTGCAGTTATGAAATAAAAACAAAGAAGCCACAAGACCATAAATATAATAGAAATAATAAAAGTAAAACTTGAAGGTATATAAGGATGGATGGAGGAGATTGTTTATTTACTAGATGAAAAAAGGTTAGATAATTCTTGCCTGACAGTATTTCCATCACATAAAATACGTGCCAAGTACGGTATCATAGAATTTTTATACTTAGATGTGAGAGCATAATCGACTAGGATCACTGATTAGTTTCTGATAATTCTAGTTTGTCTGTTAATGCGTCCTTGCAAACGAAAAACCCCTGTGATATTTTAAAATAAAATATATTATAACATATGTTATACTAATCGACTAATCATTCAGATGACTAAATATATCTTTTGATCCCTCAATCAGCAGTGTCAGTCGACCTAGGATTTGGTTGGAAAAGAGTTAGAGGCGATCTAACCAAACCCTGACATCAGTCCCAGAAGTTTCAGACAGTTAGTTGGTGACAGACACTTCCTGGCTGGAGTCCTCGGGATAGTAAAACCCAGTGCCTGGAGACATCTGTTGATATGGCTCAAAACCGTTGTCAGTAGCGCAGATGCTTTTACTCTTTGTGATATCCCATATTCATTTAACCCTATTGTTTTCCTATGTTATTATTCTTTCTCCTTCACATTTCTGCCGATAATTATTCTTTTGAATCGCTATTTTGTTCTTCCTTTGTGTGCTACATTAGAGTGTGACAACTCGAACTGCTTCACTTGTGGACAAAGTTCTGTGCTGAAATCAGTCAGTCAACCATCCAAGATAGTCATGAAGTGAACAAGACAAGTGAGACTAGAAGTAATAATTTATTGTGACAAAATACAATATACATTAAGGAAATCATAAGCCTTAAATGAATCGTATAATTTGCAAATATCTTTCTTGCCTTCATTATTTTATTGGATTCTTCTAAGTCTGTTGTCACCTTTTCCTCACTTCTCTACTTCCTTGACTTTTCCGTTGACACTAAATTAGTATTGTTTGTGGCGTGACAGTGTATTATTTATGTTTATAAGTAGCACACTACACAGTAAGTATCACTATCAGTTTTGATGATCGCTCCGTATAATTTTCAATATGAACGGCTTTTAGGAATTATTATAGTTGAGACAAATAAAATGTACCGAACAATGAATTACTATTTATGGAAGCTCTTTAATTTCCCGTTGTTTGATTCTGCTGAAGTAAAGTACTCAGTCACTGTTGGCATATCACCAACTTATACCAGGCTATGACGATGCCTTGAGATTAATTTAATGGGTACTGGTTACGAGTTTCAATGGATCAGCACTACTCACTTCAGTGCAGCCGAAGAGACTTGAAAAGAGAGAAACATGGATCCTGGATTCAACTGCTAGCCATCAATAACTAAATATAGTCAGTTACGACTATTAATAGTTATATTAGGATGAAATAATTTTTACTGATTGTCATACTAAATCATATGACAATGAATGACTTATTAACATTAAATCACGTTCATCTTTAAAAATAAGCATTTACCAATTGTTCGCAAATTTTTTTTTGAATAAACTACATATCGAATGTGATATGACATCATAACGATTCAAGTTACTTCATATTACACTGTTATATTAAGTTGGAGAAAATATTGAAAGGAATTTGTTTATAAATCACCAAAAATACCCATTGAGTAATGAAGGAAATAAAAGGCAATTCAGCGAAAATATTTGCTTTATCGACAAAATCATCTTCAGAGGCTGCACAGTCGTATTTATATTTGCTAAAAATGTATAGTAGTCTATTATTGAGTAATAGGGGAGGGTAACACAACTGATATAATTATTCAGAAGTGGCTTTAGAAGTAAAAATAAAAGTTGTAAATTACGTAATACTCAGCAGCACAAAGAAAGAAAGCGTTAGAAATTTGATAAGGCTAAAACTATTATTGAGTAAGGAGAAAAGAGGTGATTGAGTGTCCATTCAACAAGTGTGAAGAGGAAGGTGTGAAAACGTACAAAAGGAACATGTGAGAGTGACAGTAGTGAATTAATCATTATAGTAAAAGAAAAGTAATCATTAAAATGCAGATTTACAGGGTACGACTAATGAAGAAGTTAATACCATGGTAGAATAAGAGACTGGACAAACGTTTTCTTTATACAGAGTTCGGGGTTGTATTCACGAATTGCTGACACCTCCGCCATACACAAATGACGAAACCTGACGCCCTCTGTACCATTTGGCTTCACCTTGTAGATAATCTTGAAAGACGATTGAGATGAGGATCTAATTGAGAAGTAAATATTTCTTTGCTCAATCTTTCTGTTTTCTAAAAGACGATTCTGGTGGAGCTGCGTGGCTTGAGTTCACCAAGTGCCCGAGAATTGAGCTAGTAATTGTCTTGCATTATCCGTTTGTTAACCACATAGGATAATGTTCAGAGATGTGTTGGGAAAGTGTGCGCTTTGTGCGGCCAATATAACTAGCTCCACACGAGTAGGTGAATTTACAAACACACACTGAAGTGGCCCAAAGCGGCAGTTTATTCTTCACACATTCATTGATCATTTGTCGGCTGTAGAAATCGATCCGTAGCTCAGCCGAAATGAAGGCTTTTCTCAGTGATCTGGATAAGTGGTTCTTCAGAATGTCAGCAGCGGTATCACTTTTAAATTCAACTTTCATAAACAGCAGTTTCTTCGACACCGTCTGGGTTCTTTCCGGTTTTTGCTATACTCTCATATTTTTCTCCATGAATCTTGAAGGATATCCACGAGAACTTGTCTGAGTATCTCCAGTTCACCATCGATTGTATCACTGATGCATATCCTCCTTATTCTTGAGGCTAAGGAGTGGATCAGATTTCTCTTTCTTCTCAAAGGGACCCAACTATGAAAATTCATGTATTGACCATTCCATGTTGGTTTCCTGTAGATTGATCTTTGAACAGAACCGTCAGATCTCCTGTTTAGCAAAACATCCGAAAAATGGGATTCTGAGTTCATCTCTGATTCCGATGTGAACTGGATAGCATGATGGCAGTTATTAAACTCCCTAATTATCATCTTGAAGTTGGCATTCTCGTCACATATGATGAAAGTATCATCCATGTATCTTTGGTACATATGAAAACTATCGATAGTGGGTCGTAACATACTATTCTTTAGACTTGCCAAGAATCACTTTGCAAGTAAAGGACCGAATGGCTACTCCATTGCCACTCCATCTCTTTGTCTATAGAGCATGTTGCTGAACTTGAACTGGACATTGAAAGTGTATCTCAGTAGTAGTTCCTTTGAGTTTATATTTGTAATTTAACATTATTATTGATTTAACTGGAGTCAGTTGAAAGACATTTGGTCGTATACACTGTCTCCATTGATGAATGAATATCTTTTCAGTATTGTTGAGTAGTTTTAAAGTAGATAATATGTGGGTGTGTTAGTGTGTTTATTCCATTGCTGCACATCACTAACAACAAGAGAAACAAAGAAATACAATATATGAATGTATCATTATTTATTTAAACACAAAATCTTGGCACAATATGGTACCTTGAAAATGCACCACACAATAATAATAATAAAACAATATATGAGATAATAAGTAAAATATAGGTAGAGAACGGATAAAGTACTTCATCTGCGAGGAAAGCAGTCATATTTAACAAGTTCAAACATCATTCGTCAATTATCGTCGGGAAGGGAAGAAAGAAGGAAATTGCAGCACGTTCGCCATTGATCGCTATTCTTGGCCATATCCGATAACATTTCGAGCCACCGATTCGATCTATCTTTCGGACTCCAGTCAGGGAGTCATGACGCACCAACCGATGCTAACCTAACAGAAATATTCGTCATCCCACAATGCCACTTTATGGGCTGACCACCTTTTCTCTTTTTCTGTCCCATCCCAGGGCTAGCGAACAGAGACCTGTATGGAAGCTTGTGGGATGGCATTTGTAGCACATGTCCAAGCCACCGAAGCCGGTGTCTCCAGATGACGATACTCAACGAACGGTGATCTCCACTGTGTTCACACATACGTCGCCGGACCTCAGAATTACTTACGCGATGACGCCATCGAACACAAGCAATCCTGCGGAGACAGTGATGATCGAATATGCAGAGCCGCCGCACATCCTCAGCTCGGAGAGGCCAAGTTTCACATGCGTCCTCACGGAAGCATTGTATACCCGGCCTTTGACAGCCAGGCTAACGTTGCGACGGCACCAGAGGTGGCTCAAGTTGATGTATGCCACCCTAGCCTTCATTATAAGGTTGGAAATCACATCCGTCACGCCTCCACTATCACTCACACAACTACCCAGATACACGAACTTATAGAAAAATTCAAGCGGTTCTCCTACCAGAGTTGGTGCAGGTACAGACCCCTGTCAATCTTGTAACAGTACTTTGCACTTAGACGGTGCAAAGCACATACCATACTTACAGACACTGATCGCCAGCTGATTAAGTGCGATTTGGGCAGCCTGAATGCTATCGCACAGTAAGACGATATCGGCACACACTAACGCATGATCGGACTCCAGGCATGTTCTCCAGAAGAAGCGGCATTCTTGTGTGCATCCTCGTCACCGGAAACTAACAGCAATATGATCAATCTGAGTCCAAGCTCGATTCGCAGAGGGAGGACGCCAGGTAGCGCTACGACGATGACTGTGCCGGAATTTGGTGCTGACTAGAAATAGGTTGTGATCTGCACATAGTTGCAGAAGACTGTTCCCATTATCTCACCTGCGACCACTGACCACCTAGAGGATTCTCCTCTGAGCTTTGACACCGGACCTGTGCATTCAAGTCCCCAGCCAGCGAATAGTTCTGTCGACAGTTCGTTGTTTCATTCCATTGATTGTGTCAGGGCCGAGATACTGTCTGGGCGCCAAGACCGAAGCAGGTGGTTATCTTAAGGGACCGCCGACTGAGCCTTTGAATTCGAGTCTAATCCTCAAGGTAGCGGAGCAGCGTAAGGAGCTACGTTTCCATGGTTGCCAGTGACCAATACAGGTTCATACTCCATTTGATCCCATTGGATTCTGGAGCCCATGTACCCCATAGTAATTGCTTTTAGTCTAACCGCTATCTAAACAACCTTCTTGACATGGTAAGACCTGCAGGAACATGAGTAACAACCAATTCTAGGTCGAAAACCGACCGACCGAATTTAGCTTGTTTGGTCACTTCCGTATTGAAGCCCGGCCACCACGACAAGGTGGCATTTGTCGGCCAAGATGAATGTATCAAGAAGTAATTCAACAAAACTGATAAGTAAATACTAGCAATGGTGTTAAAATAATTGAGATAAAGTGTAGCAAATAACCTGAAGGATACGGAAATGGACTGAATATACGCTGAGAAGACCGCGAATGGTTATCATGCACCTTGCCCTAGAGTAGAATCCAAACGATGAGTTGAGCGTTGGTCCTAGGGGTGACATGAAGAAGTTCATGTGAAGAGGAGATAATAATAATCATAATAATGAACAATTATTGGCAATTGTGGAACCAGCTAAAACGGATTTCAGAAAACCGAGTGAGACTGAGATGCCTTGTTGAAGCCTCATGTTGTTCCACTCAGAACCAAAGGGAGTAATAAATAAATAATATAATAGGATATCACTGAATTTAGAAAATTCCAATTAATTTTATTTTATATCATTATAAACTTGTTGAAGCAAAATACTGATAGTTCATATGAACTGTGATCAATATTTGACCGTATAGTTGTAAAATAATTTCGCGCCGAGTGAGAAGTAGACATATGTAAAAATTATATTTGTAAAATCTCAGAGAAATTGAAATAAGTAATTCCAACGTTTTGTTCAGCAAACTGGTTCGAACTTTTTCAGGGAAATTAATCAAAATTAAAATGACAGAGGTTTATACGTGTAAAAAGGACATCTCTTGTTTTAAAAAAAACTTTTTCCAATCATATGAGTCATGAATCAGGCATCAAAATATGATAAACAAAATTGCATGAACTGTGTTCAAAATTTGACCTACTTTTGCTAAACGTTGTAAACAGTGTGTACTTTTTCATCAGATTTTTAGTGATTACTTTCGAGTAAAGTTCATGGTCGTAGATAATTGAATATGAAGAAAACATATAAGTATATGCTGTATACGATGGTGTGTGTGTGTGTATTCAACAACAACTGTAAATCATCTGTTAGCCTCTCCATAAGAAGATATAGACAATTAGGAATTTAGATCAAGTATGATTGATTAGTGATACATATGCATTTATATTTATTAATCACGACTTGCCATGCATCAGCAAACATTACACCTTCATTTCTGTTCAAACTTTTGGGATTCACCCATATATGTCGCTCCTGGTATTTGAAATCGCATCACCCAATGGTGTAGTCAGAGATGTTGCCACTGAGTCTCCTGTCGATTGCCTCCAACCATCTAATATCAACAATTCACAGTACACTGTGATGGTGAGCCACCTAGAACATGGTGGCCACATTGCAAACTTGACTGATAGAATTCATTTGGAAACTTGCGTCGTGTTTCTGTAGCTTTGATAGAATTCAGTCTGCACCAAAAATAAGACGGGACTAGATACATTACACTAGTTACTGATTAGTGTCCAATCAAAAATATGGCGGTATATATTACTGATTGATGTGAGTAGCTCGTTACCACTTGCCAACTAGTAATATTTGTTAGCCAGACCAAGGT